ACAATTTTCACTAACGCTGTTTCGGTACTGTGGTGAGGCCTGAAGCCGGACTGAAATTTTTCATATATATCACCCCTATAGAGAGGGGAACAGAATTGTTTTGCCACGGCTTTCTCTAAAATTTTTGATAAAAAGGGAAGATTTGAAATAGGTCTATAGTTTGATAGCTCAGAGGGGCCAAGACTGGGTTTCTTAATTAGGGGTTTAATTACACCTAATTTATTTCAGGTAAACAAGATATCAGATCATAACTGCATTTTCACAGAATATCAATACCCACAACAATCGCTTCTGTCCTGTTAAAGGATCATCTGATCATATTTAAAATGAAGATACTGGAACACAAATTCATTTCTAAAGGTATCAGACAGTGAAGAGCATCAGACAGGATTCTGGATATTTTCATACATTTTCAGATGGATTTGATAAACACATTTACATACAGTTATTTTTGTCTGTGTGTAATATTTCCACATACATTTTAAAATAAATGTGTTTTAAAATATATTTAATATTTTATATTAATAATATTATATAATATATTTTATATTAATATTTCACTATATTCTGAAATATATTTTTGTCAAAGGCTACAGTTAATTAACATTTAACTCAACAGTCAATAAACACTTTACAGAAGACTTTATTAACACATCATCAAAACACATTTACACTACATGTTGGTTCTATTGGTAGAGCTTTGTTAATTACTCAACAGTTTAGTGTTCATTAAGAAGCAGATCTTAAAGGGGCAGTCCACCCTTTTTTAAAATGTCTCCATAATTAAGTGGTTAAGATATAAACAAAGTCATTTGGAGTGATTTCACGTGAAATAGTTCACGGTAGAGAAACTTACCAACACAGATTTCTAAACTATCCTAAAACAGTGTCTCAGTCATCAGGCAGTGAATTCATAACCATTTCATGTAGTAACTTTCTGTGAGGGAGCTTTTAGAGGTGGACGTCTGGTTCCTATCACCACCACTTTGAACAGTTCTGACTCTGTAAGTTTCTCTAGAATGGAGTCACTCTAAATGACTCTGTTTACATTTTATCCACTTAATTATGCTGAGAATTTTGTAAAATTGGTGGAGTCCCCCTTTAAGAAGCAAGTGTACATGTATACGTATAACACACACACACTGAGAGACGCATATACACATATATACTGTATATACGGTATATATCGTGTATGTACTGTATGTGTGTGTGTATGAATGTAGAGAGGAGGTTTAGGTGCTGCTTACCTGGCTGTAGCGGTGAGTGTGTGTGAAGTGCCGCTGCTCCGGTCTGTGTGAGAGAGCTCTCTCACACTCTGACGTCACTACTGTGTGTGTGTGTGTGTGTGTGTGTGAGAGTGTGTGTGTGCTGGGAGATAGGCTGAGACTGCCCCCTTCAGGTAAACACAGGAACTAAGCCAACCAAAACTCTGAATCAGGAGAATTCAACTAAAATGAACACCTTATTTTAAAGGGGGACTCAACCGATTTCCCAAAATTCTTGCATAATTAAACAGTTAAGATGTAATCAGAGGGGTTCAGAGTGGTTTGGTGTGAAACGCTCTGTTCTAGAGAAACTTACCGAGTCAGAACTGTTCACAGTGGTGGTGATAGGAACCAGACGTCCACCTCTAAAAGCTCCCTCACAGAAAGTTCCTACATGAAATGGTTATGAATTCACTGCCTGATGACTGAGACACTGTTTTACGATAGTTTAGAGAGCTTAAACTCCATTCATGGTGGAGGGATACATGCAGGGCGCTGTGAGGCAAAATAGTCCCCAAAGAAAACTTATTATTTCAGATTCTCCACTATTTTCCATCATCAACATTCCATATAAACTCAGAAGACTCGTGTAGGTTCACTGGTGGTTCTGGATAGTAAATAAAATGTCTATATCTGTGTTGTAGTCATGGCGACCCCTGGTTCCTATCACCACCACTGTAAAGACATCTGAACCATTTCACACCAAACCACTCTGAACCTCTCTGTTTACACCTCACACTCTGAATTATGGGGGAATGAAATAAATGAAATATAAAAATATTTAACTGTCAAAGTCCAAATAAACAGAACCGTACAGTTTATAGGTGTATTTCATGATGACTGAATGTGGTAGTTAATATTCGCAATTGGACGCATTTCATAACCTGCTCTAATGTTACGACACAGTTTACAGTAGCAGTAACGTTTCTCTGAACTACAGTGTTTCACTGTGTTCTGTTAATTCTGATAATATGAGCTGGAATTATTTATTAATTGTAAAGCAGAGCTGATTGAGAATGAATGAGTTCCACTTTAGTTATGGTATAATTCATTAATTAATAAAGATCTTTTACACTGAGCTGGTTCTTTGGAAGCTGATTAACTAACTAGCTAATTAACTAACAATAACGTATTGATAATTAAGAATATATATATATATAACTCTAAATATATACACATATATACACATTATTATACACCAGTATTGCATAATTTCTAATATACAGTTTTGTACAGTAATAAGTTAATGTACAGCTGTACACATTTCAGATGTGCAATTAATGAGTCTGGGGTAGATAAATGAGATGCAGGGTACAAAGGCGATAGAATACTGATATATATTCCAGATTGGATCAAGGAATTTGATATGGCTTTATTTATTTTATCTATTCTTAACAGTTTTGTAATCATTACAGGATAGACCTTAAAGTGTTAACAGTTTTTATTTATATGTAAAGCACATATACACTTACATATACACTTACAGATATGCACATATATGACCACCATGTTAAACTTGTGAAACATTACGTTTTGTTGATTTTCTAAGTGAAAATATGTTAACACATCCCGAACAGCAAAATTAAATTTGACATTTTTCCAGATTGAAGTGCGCAGCCTCTGTTTCTTTGCCAAGTTTAAGATACTGGGAAAAAAAAACAGAAAAATATAATATGTGCCCAACGTGTATTTCTGTTTATTATATATAAGTCATGTTACATGCAGTAAATAAACAGTAATTGTGTATTAAAATGTGTGGAAGTGTGTCCATCAACAACACACACACACACACACACACACACACACAAATATATATATAGCTGTGTTAGCTAGTTAAATATGTTTATATGTGTGAGTGTATGTGAGTGTATGTTATGTAACATCTATGTGAGAGTGAAATATATATATGCTTATTTATGTGTTTATATTTTATATTTATGTGCTCTCAGCTCCAGCTGTGTACAGTCAGTATCAGAGGATGTGAGAATCACACTTACGGTAAGAGGAGAAACAGTTAATGAGCTCTAATCAGCTTTCCAACAGCATGCTAATGCTAAAGCTAATGCTAATGTTAATGCTAATGCAGTAATAATACAGTAATACAGCAGTGAACTCAGTCTGTATGAGTATGTTAATGTAAAGAGTTCAGAGATGGACCCTCACTCAGCTATGAGGGTCAGAGTGTCCAAAGGTCACCGCACCCCGCAGCACGCCACCACACACCACCTCACACCACCGCACACCACCGCACACCATCGCACAGATACAGAGTGCAGCTGTGCTACATACAGATCGCCGCTGAACACCAGGCTAACACTCATTTTGCCCTCTACTCATAAAACATTTAATGGAATTAAGTTTCAACATCATGTATGAATTCACCCTGTTTGGCTTCAGCTGATAAACTCTTCACAAACACTGTTCACCAGCTGGAAGACACAACATGGAAAAAGAGAAAGATAACAAGGCTGGTAATGCTAATAACGTGGCCTGGACTCACAAACATTTAGCACAGTGCTGGACAATTAGAGCAATGCTGGGCAATTAGCACAGTGATGGACAATTAGCACAGTGCTGGACAATTAGAGCAATGCTGGGCAATTAGCACAGTGTAAGAAAGATAAGAGCAGTGCTGGATGATTTGCACAGTTTAGGAAGATTAGAGCAGTGCTGGATAATTAGCACAATGCTGGACAGTTAGAAGAGTATAGGACGATTAGCACAGTGTAGGACAATTAGAACAGTGCTGGATGATTCACACAGTTTAGGAAGATTAGAGCAGTGCTGGATGATTCACACAGTTTAGGAAGATTAGAGCAGTGCTGGATGATTCACACAGTTTAGGAAGATTAGAGCAGTGCTGGATAATTAGCACAATGCTGGACAGTTAGAAGAGTATAGGACGATTAGCACAGTGTAGGACGATTAGTAGGGCAGTGCTGGATGATTAGCACAGTGTAGGACGATTAGTAGGGCAGTGCTGGACAATTAGCATAGTGTAGGAAGATTAGAGCAGTGCTGATGATTAGCACTGTAGGACAATTAACACAGTGCTGGATGATTAGCGCAATGCTGGACGGGTAGAGCAGTGTAGCACGATTAGCACTGTATAGGACAATTAGCTCAGTGCTGGATGATTAGCACAGTGCTGGACAACTAGCGCACTGCTAGAGGTTGAGCTTTTTCAGGGATTTTACTGTGAACAAGTAAATCCACATTTACTTGTTAATATTGTTGTTAAAATGTTAGGAATTTTACAAGATCAATAATTATGTTGTTATGTTAATAAAGATGTTAATGATGTAAGTTATGTTGTGAATATTGTTAATGATGTTAATATTGTTAATGATGTTAATGATGTCAGTTATGTGGTTAATATTGTTAATGATGTTAGTTATGTGGTTAATATTGTTAATGATGTTAATGATGTTAGTGATGTGGTTAATATTGTTAATGATGTTAGTTATGTGGTTAATATTGTTAATGATGTTAATGATGTTAGTTATGTGGTTAATATTGTTAATGATGTTAGTTATGTGGTTAATATTGTTAATGATGTTAATGATGTTAGTGATGTGGTTAATATTGTTAATGATGTCAGTTATGTTGTTAATGATGTTAATGATGTCAGTTATGTTGTTAATGTTAATGATGTCAGTTATGTTGTTATTGTTGTTGTTAATTATGGTATTAATGTTGTTAAAGATGTTGTTGTTGTTGTTGTGTTTAGTTGAGGATGGTGCAGAAGTACTGCTCCCCGGTGAGGGTCTATAAACACCCCTTTGAGATGGTGATGGCAGTGAGTAAGAACTTATTTCTATTCTCCTATTTCTGTCTTCTTTCTTCTTTATTCTGTTTATGTTTATTCTTATTTGCTTTGGCAGTTATTTAAATTGGTAACATTCATGCCAACTAAGCACGGACGAAGAACAAGTGAGAGAGAGATACAGAGACAGAGAGAGAGAGAGAGAGCAAGAGAGAGAGTACAGAGACAGAGAGAGAGAGAGAGCAAGAGAGAGAGTACAGAGACAGAGAGAGAGAGAGAGACGGGAGAGAGAGAGAGAGAGAGAGAGAGAGAGAGAGAGACTGTGTGAGTGAGAGTCAGTATGTATGATATGTGAGTGGGGGGGGGCAGTAATGCCTGAAATGAGAACTATTCACCCTCAACCCCCTTCACACACACACACACACACACACACACACACACACACACACACACACACACACACACCTATATGCTGTATATATTTATAGAACAGCCATATGTAAAAGTTTGTGCACCCCTGGTCCAAATTAGCACATCCTCTACAGAGACGCACTTCAATACACAGTTACTGAATTTAACATATTGGGAAATCAATTTAACATGAAATGTGGCCAAAAGTTATGGCACATATTTTTTTATGTTTTTTTCAATATGTAAAACAGCAAGTAAATAAAAATTGTACATAAAAATTTGCTAAAAATGCCATTTTTAACGGTGTCTCTGTAGAGGATCTGTTGACTTATTTACACTTAGAAGATTAACAACCACATAAAACAACATGGAATTCGACTGGTTCAGACTTTTGCAAAAAACTGTATATAATACCTACATATACATGTATAAGGGCAGAGAGCAACAGTCACTAAATTACTAGTAAATAGTATTAAATAATACTAAGACTGTTATTAAAGAAGTATTGAACATAGTCAAAACAATTAAATAATATAATTATAATTATGTATGATAAAACAATAAATCATAAACAATGTTAGAACGTTTAATGCAAGTCAGCCCCCATGTATGTATTTAAATATATTAAAACTCACCTCTACAGTAATGCTAATTTCTGATAGCACCCCTATGGGATTTCTAATAGTATGTTAGCTAAGCTAACACTGGTGCACATTAACTTTTTTGTCTGTTCTAGTTTAAACAGAGACATCCAAAGCTTGTAATTCCATAGTTTTTATCTGAATCTTGTAACAGATATTATCATATATCTGAGCTTGTGTGTATCAGTGTTACAGTGTAGAGCTGCTGCCACTGTTTAACATTCCTAACAACTAACCAGAACCTGCTTAGACTACGGCTCATATTAACAGTCAGTGATGTATCTAGAACTTCTAGAAGGCCTAGAGCGTTTTTTTTATCTCCAACCGTTTGTAAATCAAAGTGTGATTGGTTGATTCTGTCAGTTCCTATGATGTTGGTGGATAATGTAACGTGTAAGGCCTTCAGTCCAGCTCCTGAAGACCTGACCAATGGGTGAGCAGCTTAGCTGTATCTGCCTAGATACCACAGAGAGAACAATCCTGATTGGACAAGTTTCTGTTCGGTGTATCAACAAGTCGACTCTCATTTCTAACCAAAACATAACAGTGAAGAGTGTTAAAACACAGTACTTACTGAGTTTAGAGCAGCGCCGTAGCTTTTAGAACAGGGTGGCCAGGTAAGGTTTTTTTCGGGGGGGCACACTGAGGAAAAATAGCATTACAGTGAAAAAAGACACATAAATTGATTAAATTGTGCTGTTTTTTCTGTACAAACTAAATCTGTCCATCATTTCCACATGAATAAAATATTACATCAATACTGCCGAAAATGAACCGAGCAACAAAACTGTTGACGTAACATATTTATTAATTCATGAGGAAATGATGTGTTTGAATCAAGTCAATTAAATGCAGCGTTTTAAGGAAATGATTCATACAGACGGAGCCGTAGAGGTTATTCAGTGCAGCTGCCATCGCCTCAGTTTATACAGGAATCCAATGGTTTGAAAGCTCAGCACTGTAACATACATCACACACGTTATACACTGTAAAAAGAAATGTTAGCATGATAAACTATTAGCCTACCTTATTTTTTAACCCCTTTACTCTTCTCCTTCCTGACCCCCCCACTGTCTCTGAAGTACTTATTATTATTATTATCATTATTATTATTATTGACTCATTTGTGATAGTTAACTTATCTTACCATCCAATATCCTGCTTCACAATGTAGCTCTCAGAGCAGCGCTGCTGACCCAGCACACATCCACTCACCTGTTGGCTGAATAAAATACCCACGTTGTGAAACAAATAAATAAATAAATAAATAAATAAATAAATAATAAGCTTTACACAAAGCGCTTTACAAGACAGAAAAAATACTAAATTGCAAATATGAATAATTAAAAGACAAAAAGAAACGAGAAAATGAAACATTACAAATGTAAAATGCAAACAGTGAAAGCAGTAAAACGAAAGAATAAAATGGAAACATTTTCAAAGTGCAGCGGTAAAATGAATTAAATTTTAATTAAAAGCTAATCTAAACAAAGGAGTCTTAACCTTCCTATTAAATGTGCCAAAATCTTACAAATACAGTGTTATTAGAGTCTTATAACTGGTCGCCTGATAGCAGATTTTCACCATGAAGTATAACTGATTCTTTATTAACGATGATTGATGACGGCTGACTGTCTCATTTCCCATAACTGGGGTGACCAGAAGGGCGGCCATGCTAATGGTCTATTAGCCTGGGCTGCCTTCAGCTCTGATAAAACGTAGTAAAACATTTACTTAAACAGAAACGGTGGTGTGTTGAACACTCTCACACAAGAGCTGCAACTACGGCAGCTGAGAAGGCCATTCCTGTCGTCCTGCTACTGTAATCTATTAAAAAACTTTGCAATAAAAAATTTGACATGCCAATCAAACAGGAGACGCACCTCAAAGCCTTAAAGTTTCACAGTTTCAACAAAATGTGTCGATCAACCCAAAAACTGTAGCAAAACTGTGCACAATGCCTTGAGATTGAATGTACCCCCATTAACTGACGGCCTATTTTTGCCTGAAACTGCGTACCCAAAGTAAAGGGGGCGCTGTTTACGCATCCTTTGAGCTGCAGTCATGATTTTAAAAGGAAACTGGTCTCACTTTATTTGGACAGTCCACTATAGTCCACTATAGATTGTCTACAGATGTTCTTATTGTTAACAAACTATCTGCTGAAACTGATTCTAAACAGTGGTGGGGCTGGGGTTAGGATTTGGACCAGGGTGAGGGTTGGGTTTAGGTGTTGAGTAGAGGTTAAGAGTTAGGATTAGAGCAGGTTTAAAGACAGTTACGGTCAGTTTAGTAGATATTTAGTTGACAGTTGCATCTAAAGCATCTAAAGTGGACGATTCAAATAAAGTGATACCGAAACACTGTCAAGTCAGAATAACTGCCTGAATGACTGACTCAGAGTAACAGAGTCTAGAACGGAGGACTTTATTTCCTCCTGACTCACAGATCTCTAAACTGATCTCTGACTCTTGCCGTGTTATCAGACCTCATGTTTTGGATTATGGTGTCTCTTTGGAGGCGGAGAGGCTCTGAAGGTGAGAACACAGATTTGCTGGCGTTTGATCATTCGGTGCTTGTGGTAAATGAGACGATCGTGACTGCTGTGAATAACAGGTCATAAAACGGTTTGTGGGAATCGAATCCTGAGATTTCAAGCGTCCTGAGTGCGTATTGCATCACTGTATTGCTGGATGATTTAATGCATAAAAATGATGTATAAAAAAAATAACTAAAAAGGGCCCTGAGGTTTCCCCACTGTTATTTACACATGTTTACATCAAATATTGAATATTAATCTCCCTCTCTGTTCACCTCTTTTATTGTGTTTGTGTTGAGTTTAATTAAGCGGTGTCTCCAGTTCCTCGTCTGTAAAGCGCTCTGCTCCGGTTACACTCGCCCACTCGCTGTGGTATTACTCTACTACAATGTGTGGATTCATAATGACCGCTCTGTGTGCCTCTGCATGTACAGCACAGGCTGTGCTGAGGTCACTTTAGCACTGGCTAACCTAAAGAAAAACATTTTTAATATATTTTTCTGTTTCATGTAGTTTTATGCATCCAAAAACAGTCATAATTCATTTCTATATGATCAGTTTCCAGTCTTTATCACTTACAATTAAACAGTTCAGCCCCGCCCATTCAGCCTACAGCAGTTTAGCCCCACCCATTCAGCCTAGAGCAGTTTAGCCCCGCCCATCCAGCATACAGCAGTTTAGCTCCACCCATTTAGCTACAGCAGTTTAGCTCCACCATTCAGCCTACAGCAGTTTAGCCCCGCCCATCCTGCGTACAGCCGTTTAGCCCCGCCCACTCAGCCTACAGCAGTTCAGCCCCGCCCATTCAGCCTACAGCAGTTTAGCGCCACCCATTCAGCTACAGCAGTTTAGCTCCACCCATTCAGCTACAGCAGGAATATTTCAGCCCAGACAGCTTTTTGAATGAGGCATAATACAGGTCAGCCAGTCAGAACAGAGCTCATTTACATATATTCGTCTTTAAGACAGTAACACAAACAACCTGTTTAAAGAGAGGATGGAATTTGGTAAAATATAAAATGAATTATGACTTTTTGGTACACGCAACTGCATAAATGTTATAAGTGGACCCTCTTAAGACCGATATATGTAAATGACCTCTGTTCTGATTGGCTGCTTTTAACTTCTTAAAACGTGAGCCTGAGTGGACAGGGCTAAACTGCTCCACGCTCAGTGGGGGATTTTTGTGACATTACAAAAACAGTGAATTCAGATAGACCTGTTTTGTAGCGTGATGTCTGTGAATGGACTGTATGGTGAGGAGTGAACAGTACGAACTTTAACAGCGTTTACAAACTACATCAGACTGAACAGTGTTTGTTTTTCCTGATACTGGCCCTGTAAGGTTTGTTGACCGACTGTGCGCTATACGTTGTGTGTATGTGTGTGTGTGTGTGTATGTGTGTGTGTGTGCGTGTGTGTATAGTGTTTCCTCTGTTCTAATTATACCGCTGGTACTAGATAGCTCAGCTCAGTTTCAGGTTACTCTTCAAGGGCTTGTATTCACACCCACAACAGCAAATGTTGGCCCCGAAATTGTAGACTGTAGCCGCTGTGACACGAGAGGCGGTTGCCGCGGTGATGGCCTGCTGAGAGGATGTGAATGTTGCCTCATTTCCCAAAACGAGCGATCCCACTGGATCCCGAAGCTTTAGAACACCGAATCCTGGATTTTACAGCATGTTCACTCCTAAAAAGACTATGTACTATTGATATGCAAAGAAACATATTTGCAAATGTTTCTGACATATATGAGAATATTAGAAGTTGTCATAGTCAGTCAAGGACTTCTGAAGAAGTTAAACCCTTACATGACCACAAAGCCTGGACTCTGCGGGAATGTAGATCTGCAGGACCAGGGTTGGTGACCACTGACCTAAACTAACATGTCAGAAACTTTTCTTGAACACACTACAGCAGGGTTTCTGAACCGGTGGGCCGCAAAGCCTGTTCTCAGGGGGAGGCAAAAGTTCATAGTGGGCCGTTGCCGGCACTTTGTCACAAAAAAAAAAATAATTTAGGCCAAATAATTAAAAATCGAAGAATCAAACATTTCCTAATTATAAGCCATATTAACGGATACTAAACAGATTATAAATAAAAATACCGCAGTCGCAGTCATCAGTTTGAGACTGTGCAGGCGGCGGCTCACGGTGCAGACGGTTAGCCAGAGGTGGATAGTTTTCTCAGGGCGCTTTCTCCTAGCTTGCTCCGTGCAGACCTATCAAATTTTTTCTTTAGTTCACTCTGTTTTGACTTGAGTGGACACTCCACCTGTATTCGGGTCTGCATCAAACAGCTGAACCAGTACGGCAAAACCCAAGGGTCACATAGGAAGGTGGGTTTATTTCAAATGAGGCGCTAAAACCCTCAAAACTAAAGAGACTCCAGACCAAACAGTGACTCCTGTGGAAATAACCTGAGCATTTTCAATGAAAACAAGATGGACTGCAGCTCTAAATCACAGTCCACATCTACATCTCCCTTTTTTTTCTTTTCCACCTTTTTTTTTAAATCTCTGCAACTGCCTGTTGTTTTTAACATTGTTTTTTGACATAACTGCAAATTTTGGTTTCTATGATTGAACTGAAATGGACGATTATAGTTTTTCTGTGGGCTGCTGTGGGCTCAGGTGGACGTTGGGGTGGAAAAGGTTGAGAACCCCTGCACTACAGCGTCTACAGTATACAGTAAGAGTGCAAATGAAATACTGCGCAATAGCAACTAAAGAGAGATTCAAGTGTCCTTAAATGCACTCAAAAAAAGGTTCTACAAGGGTTCCTTAGTAGACAATAGTTCTATATAGAATCTTGAACACTCAGTGAACCCTTTACATGATTAAAGGGTTCTTCAGACTGATGTAGAATGTGCTATAGATGGTTCTACATAGAGCCTTTTTTGAAAAGGGCTCCATCAATCTGAAGAACACTTTTACGATGCAAAGAACCCTGTAATCATGCAAAGGGTTCTTTGAATGTTTATGGTTCTATATAGAACCATTTTCTTTACTAAAAACCCTTGAAGAACCATATGCAGCTTTAAAAGTGTACAGTCCTATCACGTGATACACTGAAGGTGATACATTGGTGGGTGTATACAGGTGAGCACCTGAGCCTGTAATGTTCTAGCAGCAGTCCAGTGGGAGAAGGATAACGGTCTGGGGTACCGCTTTAGGGAACCGACAGATACACATTAACTGCGTATGTACTCTGCAGGCCTACGAGCGGCGGTTCCCCACCTGCCCCCTCATCCCGGTGTTTCTGGACAGCGAGATTCTGAGCGACGTCTGGAGCGAAGATGGGGCGATCCACACCGTCCAGCGCAGCTGCATACTCAGCGTGGACGCGCCCCGCCTCCTCAAAAAGGTCAGAGGTCATGCAGTGTCAGAGTAACAGTGTAATTATCAGCTTTAGCCTCACAGCTTCAGTTCTAACTTAAAAGAAGCAAAAGCTGGACTCCAGACACGCCTGGCTGATTGAAGGCATCTGGAAAAAAGGGAAATTTGGTGAATGACAACAACCAGATTTCCTTTTTTAGGGAAACATTCTTAGCAGTAATTCACTTGATTTGCATTTGCTTGTTTTCTCACAGCTTCAGGTTGTTGATCGTTTGTTAGAGTATTTTTTTCCACCTCTGCTCAGAACTAAGTTTCAGCATTAGTTACTTCACTTTCTTGTGTAAAGTATATCTTCTGAATATCTTATGCATTATTCTGCATCACTCTAGTCATCTCCTAGTGGCTAAATGTAATGACTAAACCGGGGTCGGCAAGACAAATGTTAAACAGAGCTAATCTGTCCTTCCAACAAAAATCAAACCCACAACAATTAATGTCCATTTTACCATCTTGGCTGTAAATATGTTTCAGTATGTGCTGATGTACCAGTATAGACTAAAAATATAATATAAACAAAATCACAGACTTACTTTGCTCTGCTTTAAGCTTTAGCTCAGCTGCAGCTGCTTTTCTCGCATCTCTGGCAGGAAACTTTTCCACAAAAGTAGAATAGTTGTCTCTCAACGGTTGACTTTTTATGAGGCTCAAGCCAGTTTTTCGTTCACCAGCTTCTCGTTCGAATTTTCCCGTTCCACCTTAAAAGGTGCCTGAGGTGTCAGAATGTAACTGCTGCACCATTTAAGGTGGAACGGGAAAATTCGAACAAGAAGCTGGCGAATGAAAAACTGACTTCAGCCTCGTGACTTTTTAGTGTTTGTCAGTTTCTCACCAGCTGGAGTGACTATAAACACAAATCAGTCCATTCGTCTCCAAATTATCGATGTTCGTCTTAAATCTCTCTCTTTGCCGTTTTGTTAGCTACTAGCTAGGCAAGACTGTTGTCTGTGTTGCTATGGTGACCAGCAGTCTGCACTGATCTTCAGGGTTAAAGGGTGAATTAGCAGTTCTACATTAACTCCAGAGTTTAAGATCATTTATTGTTAAAGTACAAAGTAGATTTTTTTTCACTAATATTAACTAATAACCCCCCCCCCACACACACACACAATGATGAAAATGTAAACATTTAGGGGTCGTGGTGACATTTTGTCATTTTTTTCATTTTTTGCAGATTTTATCAGAAAACGTAAATATTTGCTTTCTGAAGTTAGTTGTTGTCTACGGAAAGGGTGAAAACTGAGTGCTTCCCTGCTGAAAAAAGACTATTAGAACCTGATGGTTTTGCTTTCTAATGGAAACTGTCTTTATGGGTACCATTAGAGACCACAAGTTTCCTGTAGGACACCTTTAGATCCCATTATGAAACCATCAAATGCATCTAGAATCAGTCCCAGAACACCTGTTACACCATTAGAGTCCTTTACACTGTGATATTAACCCATCAGGACAAACACAGAATACCACTACTGACTATTGGACACCAGCAGGAACCAGCAGAGACTTTTATGGGTTCTTACTGTTTTTTAGCAGGTTTTTTTGGCCAAACTATCAGAGTGTGTTTAGGTGTAGCAGAGCAGCAGTAACTCATAAATCACTGCGTAACGTGTGTGTTTGTTGTAGATTGCCGGAGTGGAGGTGGTGTATTTTATCCAGAAGAACACTCTGAACTGGAGAGAACGCACTTTACTCATCGAAGCTCACAATGAAACCTTCAGTAACCGAGTCACGGTGCTGGAGACTTGCCTCTACAGTGTGAGTCACAGTGCCAGAGACAAAGAGAGGCACACTTTCCTCAGTGTTTTCAAAAACAGTAGACAATGCACAAGGTGTGACATTTGATAAGTAATAAACTTTGAACTTCTGATGCCACAGGCATGAAATTTTGAGGAGTTGTTTGGTTTAAAGTGTGAAGAGTGTTTAACAACCAAGTTCAAAGATGCAGAGGTTTTATGACTTATTAATAATCCGAAATTTATATATATATATATATATATATACAGTCCTGCTCATCATTATTGGCACCCATGAAGTTTAAGTACATATTGTGGAATATCCCCTGAAAAAATGAATCAACTGAAACAGTTTTTTTGTATAGAGCACTCATATTTAAAACAAAAGAGCAAACTATAAACAACAATTTAAAACAAAAAACAATGTGAGGGAAAAACAGAAAAAACCTGAAGCTTGCTGTGACACTGGTATTGGCACCCTTTACATTAAATTAGTATGGAAACACATTTTCACTCACCTGTGGTAAATCGCAAATGATAATCACCTGTGACAAATTCAGTGCCCATGTGACATGAATTAGCCAATGAATGATGACTTCAGGGTTTTAAAAAGCCATACGTTGGGCCATGTTCATTTGTTACAATGGTGAAGACAAAGGAGCTGTCTGAGGACATCAGAAGTGCTATTATTAGCAAACACGAGACTTCCAAAGGGTATAAGGCCATCTCCAAAGACCTTGGTATCCCAGTTTCAACAGTGCGCAATGTTATTAAGAAGTTTGCCAAGCATGGAACTGTCAAGAATCTCCCTGGACGTGGGGAAAAGAGGAAAATTGACAAGAGAAGTCTTTGAAGGTTGGTGCGAACGGTGGAAAAAACACCAAGGCAAACATCCAAAGAACTGAAGGCCAACCTGGAACAGTCTGGGGTCATGGTTTCAACAAGTACCATACGCCGCACACTAAACCGTGCAGAGCTTTATGGGCGAAGGCCAAGGAAGAAACCATTGCTAAAGAAAAGACATAAAAAGGAACGACTGATCTTTGCCAAAGAGTACCTTGACAAACCACAATCATTCTGGGACAATGTTTTGTGGACAGATGAAACAAAAATAGAGCTTTTTGGCAATGCAAAGCAACAGTTTGTTTACAGACGGCGCAATGAAGCTTATAAGGAAAAGAACACCCTACCAACAGTTAAGCATGGTGGAGGATCCATAATGCTGTGGGGTTGCTTTGCTGCATCTGGTACTGGAGGCCTTGACCGTATCACAGGAATCATGAAATCAGAGAATTATCAAGAGATTTTAGAGCGAAATGTCCTACCCAGTGTAAGAAAACTTGGTTTGAGCCGAAGATCATGGGTATTCCAGCAAGACAATGACCCAAAGCACACATCCAAAAGTACACGGGAATGGTTTAAAAGGAAAAAATGGACTGTTTTAAAATGGCCAGCAATGAGTCCTGACCTCAATCCCATTGAAAATCTTTGGGGTGAGTTGAAATCTGCCATTGGGAAAAAGAATCCTGCAAACATTCAAGAGCTTGAACAAACTGCAAAGGAAGAGTGGGAAAAAATACCAGCTGAGAAGTGCAAGAAGCTTATAGATGGCTACAAGAAACGTTTGGAGGCTGTCATCACAGCCAAAGGGTGTGCAACCAAATATTAACAAGGGGTGCCTTTATTGCTGCACATGCTGTTTATTCTGTTTCTTCTTTAAAATTGCAACATGCAAGTTGAAAAACAATGTTTTTTTTGTTGTATTACTTTGGACCTCCAATTAAAAAATCCTGAAGATATAACTTTGGTACATTTACATTTATTTCTGAAGATATTGTACAGGTTATGCAAAAAAAGGAAGGGGTGCCAATAATGGTGAGCAGGACTGTATGTATATATATATATATATATATATATATATATATATATATATATATATATATATACACACATTACCATTTAATAAGTTATACCATTTGAAAGGATACATTTCAATTACCAACTGCACCCAAATATATGTTACTTTTGTCAATTGGTTGGTTGTTAAATGGTTGATTAATTCTCAAATTATATTTTTTGATTTTTTTAAAGTGTCAGACACAAAAAGGTTTATATCACATTTATTCATCCTAATTGTCTCTCTGACAAACACATGACTTATTATTTATTTTTTTTGAGTTATTACTTTTTTTTTACCTTTCTCTATGATTTTAAAGCAGAAATTAAGGCCACACCTACTTCATAAATCCTCCAAATCTCAAACTATTTTAGAAGTAAAATGTTTAAGAAGTTTAAAATATTGTACCCTGTCTGTTGGGCTCAGTTACATTATTTATATTTTATATGAAAACTATTATACATACCTTAGATGATTGATGCACAGAGACTTTTTAGCATTTAAAATATCTATAAAGTGTCTATAAAGTGCTTATAAAGTGCTCTATCTGTGTGTGTTGTGTAGGTCCACCCTGACAATGAAAGCTGGACGTGTTTTGAACAGTCGGCTTCTTTAGACATCAAATCATTCTTCGGTTTTGAAAGCACAGTGGAGAAAATCGCCATGAAACAGTACACAGCCAACATCAAACGGGTAAGCCTTAGTATTTATACCCTGATTTATCTTGGTCTCAGTAGTATTTGTACTCTTATTCTTCTTAGTGTTGATAGTATTTGTACCCAGACGTGTCTCAATCTCAATAGTATTCATACTCATACTTGTCTTGTTCTTAATAGTATTTGTACTCAGACTTATCTTGGTCTTGATAGTGTTCACACTGGGACTCATCTTTGTCTTGATTGGATTTGTACTCGGACTCTTCTTGGTCTCGATAATATTTGAACTCAGACTCATCTTGGTCTCTATAGTATTTGTACTCAGACTCATCTTGGTCTCTATAGTATTTGTACTCAGACTCATCTTGGTCCTAATAGTATTCACACTGGGACTCATTTTGGTCTCAGTAGTATTTGTATTGGGACTCATCCTGGTCTCGATAATATGTGTACTCAGGCTCATCTCGGTCTACACACTATTTGTACTCAGACCAGTCTTAGTCTAGGCAGTATTTGTACTCAGACTCTTCTTAGTCTCGAAAGTATTTGCATTTAGACTCATCCCAACAGTATTTGTACTCAGTCTTATCTTGGTCACTGTAGTATTTGTGATCGGACTTGTCTCAGTCTCAACAGTGTTTGTACTCAGACTCTTCTTGGTCTCAATAGTATTTGTACTCGGACTTGTCTGTCTCGACAGTATTTGTACTCAGACTCTTCTTGGTCTCAATAGTATTTGTACTCGGACTTGTCTGTCTCAACAGTGTTTGTACTCAGACTCTTCTTGGTCTCAATAGTATTTGTACTCGGACTTGTCTGTCTCGACAGTATTTGTACTCAGACTCTTCTTGGTCTCGATAGTATTTGTACTCGGACTTGTCTTAGTATCAAAAATATTTCTACTGTGACTCGTCTAAGTATCATAGTATTTGTAAGACTTGTCTTGGACTTATTTTGGATTTGATAGTATCTGTACTCAGACGTGTTCTCATACTGCAAACATTACTGTTGTGTGTAGGGAAAGGAGATAATAGAGTATTATCTGTCTGAGCTGATCTCTGAGGGTGTTACTGAAATCCCCCGCTGGACTCCTCCTCTACAACCACCTCTGACCTCTGACCCCTACACCATCACGGCACTGACCTCGACGGAGCTCCACACAGCCAGCAGCAGCGACATCAGCCTCGGAGCCGGCAGCACTGAACCAGCTGAAGGTAAAACACAGTCATGTATTACTGTCTGTGGCTTTTTGACCTTTATACTAATCCTGCGTGACCATCTAAAAAGACCTTTATTACCTCGTTAGCGTGTTATCTGGTCAATTTATGTATGACTCATCATATCATACCACAAAAAAGGGTAAATTCTCTTCCTCTCATTCTCATCCCTGCAAAAATGTAGTGACTATTGCCCCGCCTCTAAAATGCCTACTGATTTTTGATTACATCACCATGCAACAGCACTATCCAAACACCACAACCACTTTCTATGTTAGGCATGTTCCGAAGCTAAAGCTTCAGAGTCAAGTTCGAATCGAGTCTCAAGTCTCAGAGGTTTGAATGAGTTTCTGAGACTCAACTTGAAAAAAGGAACTTAGTCAAGTCCGAGTCTGTCTCGAGTCTCTTTGGAGCAAGTCTGAGTTGAGTTATTAGCCTCTGAGGTGCGAACCCGTGTCGAGTCTCGAGTTTCTGAGATGTGAGTCAGAGTCAAGTCTCAATTTTCTGAGGTGTGAGTCAGAGTCTTGTCTCATGTCTCTGAGGTGTGAGCCTGGGTCAAGTCTCTGAGATGCGAGTCAAAGTCGAGTCTCTGAGGTGCGAGCCTGAGTCTCAACTCTTTGAGGTGCAAGCCTGACTCTTGAGTCTCTGAGGAGCGAGTCCGAGTCGAGTCTCGAGTCTCTGAGGTGCGAGCCCAGGTCGAATCTCTGAGATGTGAATCAGCGTCGAGTCTCTGAAGTGTGAGCGTGAGTCTCTCTGAGGTGCAAGTCCGAGTTGAGTCTTGAATCTCTGACGTGTGAGTCTGAGTCTCGAGTCTCTGAGGTGCGAGTCTGAGTTAAGTCTCAAGTTCATGAGACTCAACTGGGTAAAAGGAACTTTAAGTCAGAGTCTGTCTCAAGTCTCTGTAGAGCAAGTCTGAGTCAAGTCTCAGGGCTCTGAGCTGTGAGTCTGAGTTGAGTCTTGAGTTTCAGAGGTGTGAGTCTAAGTCAATTCTTGAGATGCAAGCCCAAGTCAAGTCTCGAGTCTCTGTGGTGTGAGGCTGAGTCGAGTCTTGAGCCTCAGAGGTCTGAGTCTGAGACAAGTCTTGGCTAATCTAAGTACCCATCTCTGCAATCTACCAATGATAGACCAAATTTTAATAGGACCACTTGGTAGCCTCAACAATGAGTGCATTTACATGCTCTTAATAATCGGATAACTGCAGAAAATCAGATGGTGTCAGTAACTGGTTCAGCGTGTTTACACTTAATAATCTGATAACTGCAGAAAATCAGATTGTGTCAGTAACTGGTTCAGTGTGTTTACACTTAATCCGATTACAGCAGAAAATCAGATTGTGTCAGTAACCGGT